CTGACAAAGTATCCCTAGTTCTCGACAAATCTTCCCATCGTCTTGCCCTGAAAGAATCACAACAGATACTACCCCATCTGCTACATCTCGAGTGCGTCTTTCAACTGGCCTGGATGGTAGAGCAGAGTTAGTCGAAGGAGAAATCACCCCTCCCCGCCCACATGCCGAACGGCCTACATCGTCATTATCCAGCGTCATTCCACTAAAGCGAATGCGAAGCTTATATCGCAGCCATAGTGCCCTACCTCTGGGATCTTCATCCTTTAATGGCCCTTTCACGCCTCGTCTACTAAGTGGCCGCTCGCGTGATGCACGGACTTGGGAATTCTGTGCCGAAGGAGAGCCTCGTGACGAACTGACCACTCAGGCGGAAAATGAGTCCAGTGGTTCAGCAATCGCAGCTATTAGTCTTATCCGCTCGACAAGCAGCAGTGCTTTAAAACCCAACCCTAATAAACGAAACACACCATCTCGACCGAATCTGCAAGGGAAAAGACCTAAAATGGGACGCGCATCCTCAAGTGTTGCGAGGATGCAGAGTGGTGTTAAAAAAGCGGGACAGCCGATTAGTGATAAAGATCCGTTGATGAGATCTCCATCAGGAGACTCGGACAAGGAGAATTGGATCCCGTCTCAAAATAGCGTAAACCCACGCCGGCGACCTGCTCATATCCAAAAGGAGAGTGACAGAGAACCGAAAGGAATTCTTCAAGACAATCCTAGTATCCCTACTCACGCAGAATTTGGCGTCAATAAAAATAAGCGAAGAAAGAGCGCTCATTCTGAGCCCCAAGTTTATGAGGATGCAGAAGCTAGTACAAAGAACACCAAAGCTCCCGATGATGATGTTCAACAATTTATGCAAGCTCCGGTGAGCCCGAGCAAGAAGGACGATGTCGATTGTATACAAGGGCTTCTATCATTGAGTCAGGGGAATTGGCGATAATCAGGGCCCTACGGGGTTAGTGATACGAGAAATGAATGATGATACGGGGTCTTACTGGAGCTTGGTTGGTTGGGTATTGGTCAATTTTTGGAAAATGGAATACAATTGGTGTAACATTGTGGTGTGGTGTATGGTCAACTATTGTGGATTCCACTAGCATTTGGAAGATCCAAAAATGTTCAAGTAATTGAAACAATTTTATCTTGAAGATCCAGCAGTCTGCTGGGCTAGTCCTGAACTTTGCGATTCTTTTTTTTCCCGCACACTTCTGCAATCAAACTTGTGCAAGGTCAAACTGCTAGATCATGCATTGCCACTCAATGCTTTGAAAATCACGATGAGGAATCCCCTGTCCATTCAAGCCAATTAAGCGAGCACAACCCTTCAAGTTGTATCAAAATAACTACTATTACCTGATGATCTTCAGACACATATTATTGCTCTTAATTGATCTATCAAATTCTATTCACATTAACTTCGGACCTTGTTAGTCATCCTCTATTCACTGTATATGGTGTGTACTTCTTAAATTTGCTCCCAATTTCCTTTTGGCCCCGTGCCAGTTTCTCTAGCCCAACGACAACAACATAATAGCTTTTTGATTCCCCAACCAGCTTCAAGTTAAAAAAAAACAGTCTCTACCTTCTTGAGGACAACAAAAAGATCACCATTTCAATGGAACAAATTTCTGCTACACAGACACCATTACAAGAATTCCAGGCTCTTGATTCTTACATTGATGTTGACTTTGCTCAGCTTTTTAATTCTTCTGTTTCTATCTGTGATGACAAACTCAGATTGAAAGGGGTAGCTGACAAACCTGGGCCGGATTTTGATAAAGATAATGAAAGAGGAACTGGTATTTGTACAACTGCAGAGCATAAGGCTGTTGATGATGAAGAGATCGATCCTCTGACAGTCAACACAAAGCCATCTATGCTGACACCAGAACCTTCATTGCCCAGCTCCAGTTCTAGTTCCAGCTCAGCATCCAGCTCCACATCTACCAGCACAAATCCAAGTCTGAAAGTCGATAATACAGCTCAGACTGCAGTCGTCTTTAAAACTGTCCACCAAAAGCAAGCATCTGACAGCACTATTGTTCCAGAAATCAGCAGTCTTCGACACCCAAACTACAAAGGAAAAATTTGCAACCCAAGTAAAATTGTCACAAGTTTGACCACTACCTCAGCAACTTCAATGATCGTCAGTCCAACAAGCCGTATTGAACTCCGAGCACTCTACGAGAAGTATCCCAACATTTGCCCAAAATTTCCCGCACCGCGGCCAGCCTTCTTCAACCGAGATCTCAGCCAACAGACATACTTACAATGCGTACGATCACCCCCAATCACACCGCGGAAATACGGCCAACCAGATTCCCGCCGTCTCGCCGAGTCATTTGCTTCCAGAACACCACTCCCGTCCAAAATTCACTTGCACCCCAGAATGGTGAAAGAGAGCTTGAGGGAATGGTATGAGATGGCTGGATTCATGGCAAAGTGCCGACGCGATGAACAGCTCAATCCTTATCCACATCTGGATATGAATTCGGGATGGAATCGCGCACGAGTTCAGGGAGAACAATGGCATGATAATTTCAATCCGTGGCAGAAACCTAATACGAAGATTCTGGAAGTGGTTCGGTTGCAAGAGCAGCTTTTGCAATTTTCGTGGGGCGAACAGGTAGATTCAATTGTTGTTGATGGGGGGTTGGCAGAGGGGGTTTTTGAGAAGGTATTCGAGGGCGTGGATGCGGAGAAAGAGAGGATGGCTGGGCGTGGACAGAAGAGAATGCCCGGAGCTTGGTGGGCGCAGAGAAAACGTATTTTCTATGATTTGAAGGGTAGAGGGTTTAGGGATGAGGTTCATATCAAGAATTGTCAGATTTGGGATGGGGTAAAGGCATGGGCCGCAAATGATATTGACGCAGAATACGGCAAATTGAAGCGAAAAATCGATGTCGTTGAGAAAATGGCTATGAAAGCAGGCGGTATGGAACAGACCCAGATTGAGGAGCCTATTCCCAAGAGACACAAAGCCCGTCGTCGAATCTCACAAGTCATGAGCGCCACCTGGCGAGCCAAGCGAAGAAGTCAGGAAAAGAAAGCCGGTCGATGGACAGATGGAACACCGTTGCAAAACCGCATGTGGGCCGAATTTCACTGGGTCTTAGATGCGCCAGACCATCGTGATCGGCGGTTTTTCGATATGCGGGACTGGCCGCGCATGTTCGCTGAGAGAGGATGGCCGGGAGTTTCTGCGATGCGGGTTTGGGCGGAATTTTATCATGGATGGGGTCCGTTGCAGAGCTGGCTTTATTGGTATACGCTTCAGGCGCAGAAACAGCATAGGATGTTTAGGGAAAGGGAAGGGCAGAGAAGACAGAGGCAGTGGGCTATTGAGGGTGAGGGTGAAGGCAGGCCTGCGGATGCGAGGTTCGGGCATGTTGGGTTCCATGGATAAGACTGCGGTGGAAATGGGATATTCTGGTGCTTTGATGGATTCGAATTTTTTGGAATAATGCGACGATCAGAGTTTTCCTGACCGTTTGGAACATTCAGACTCTACGAGGGTCTTTACGCAACCTAAAGTTCCTCGTCAAATGGGAGAATCGTAGGTTCGAAATATGAAACGAAACGTGTGGCATGACGGCATGGCGGTTCGAAGAGATTCGCGGTATGCAGTTCCGTTTCTCACGCTTTATTTGTCAGCTGGTGATCTTTGCTTTAATATCAGTTCGTAGCAATCTAAGAAAGCCAATTAATTTCCTAGCATAAAAACAGTGATTAATGTGCTCGATGACGAAATCGTTGAAGATAAATTTGCATATTTCGTGCGTAGTATGCTTTCTTGACCGACGTCCACACTTCATCAAAGTAAAGTCTTTACAACTGCATTTCTGACCCCGATGCTGATTGGTATGGATCCTGCTCTTGGTACTAACACTATCATGATGGGTGGTTTATTGGTCTGTACTACGGAGTTTTTCAGGTGGGATAGCAATCGTGTGCCTGGTAAATCTCTTGAAGTCAAATACGCGTACACTAAAGTCGCTTGCTTTGGCTTAATAATAACGAAGTCTGGAATCTCTTGGCTTTCTTAATGGAAATGATTTATCTCTGGTTATTTTGGAGATGAGGAAATAGGGAGAAGGAAAAAGAAGGAACGAAGTCACTGAAAGCTACACACCGTTGCTGTGTAGTAAGAAACGTGAAATCGTTTCGCTTACATGCTGTTCCCAAGGCCATCAACGTCATTATTTGTAGACGAAAGTTTGATTTGAAGCAGAACAATTAATTGTCTCTTTCTTAGAGACCGAGATGATGTGGCACGAGTAATTCGGACATGTTTTTGCAGCAGTGGTGGATCCGAAAGGGTAGTGAATAAGCATAGTCTATTGAGCAGCTGAATACTTCGTTTTGAAAAAGGCTAATTGTTTACAGTCTCGAAATTGGGCGAATTCTATTCGTCCTCAGAAGGAACAGTGTTTGCTGCTAGATCTATTGCCGCAAGTGCGTCTGATCATCTGGGAGTTTTGTATCCTCAATCTTCGTATATAGTATCCTCTATTTCCAGCATCTCAAATGAGACGGGCGTATACATACTAACATTTGCAGCTTGCGGCCGCAACCCTATCACAGTAGCGATATCCCAGCCGCAATTTAATCGAGATCTGCGTGCGTTTGAGGGCGCAATCCCTTTACATCGTAATAAGAAATTCTACGCACAAAAACAAGCCTGCTTTCGCCAAAAGTACTTCGATCAAGTACACCCTGCCTTTAGAGCTCAAATTTTCAATCTCTTCATGATTTGTCGACAGGCATATCTTAATATTGAGGGTGGCGCCCTTTTATATAAAACGAAGACTTTTAGATTCCTTGATCCGATGACTTTGTTCAGATTTTGTTTTAAAATCCAACGCCCCTTCTTCTTAATACAAAGTATGGTTCTTGAATATGACATCTCTTGTGACCGGGCCTTTTTTTGGGTCGATTCTATATTCTCGATGATTTTCCATCGGTATAACCTCAATTTTTTTTATAGAATGAAGATGAGAATTCTAAGTTGCGAGCTTGTCAGCGAGGCAGCGCCTGCCGTTAAGATCAATGGAACCTTTTTCCCAAATTAGCACGGACAAGCAGTACTCCATAATCTCTGCAGCATCCCGGAACTATGGAAGTGGAATCTAAAACCCAAAAATGTTGACAATATCAAAGACTTCGACATTGATGTCAGCGGCGATGATACCTGGTCTAGCTACTTTAAATTTGGTGGAGACAAAAATGGTTGGCACCTTGTCAAGAAGCTATATGCTATGCACACTATCAAGATGAGTGAACTTGTCCAGCGTCTCACGGAAAGGTATCCGTACTACAGAAAACGTGGTATTAGAGAGCAAACCTCGGCCCACATAGAGGACACATTGGTTGATGTCTGCGAAGCTATCCTTGTCCCGGAGACTGCACTAGAACTGTTACGGAAGAAGAACGAGAAAGCGGAGAGGGAGAAGTTGGAGACGGAAAGGTTGGAGAAGGAGAGGTTAGAGGATATATCGGAGGAGTAAAGTTAAGTACGGATCGTCTGAGAGTATAGCAATAACCATGTTTGCTCTTCTAGAACTACTGCAACGGATCGAGTTAGATAAAACTCATACGCATATATCAATAACATCGAAGAACGGTTCACTAAACCGTAATTCTCAATATGTTTATTTGAGTAACCATACAGATATTTACAGATTTCTGACTCGTGATTCTGGTGATACAACACTTTCCCGGTCCTCTTTCTCGATTCTACGTCTCGCTTCCTCGTTCCCCCTTTTCCACATATCTATTCTTTTCAAATGTCCATTGTCAAATCCTTCTTCCCACCACTTCTGGAACTTTGGTAAACTTCTACCTTTACCATTCTTTGGCTCGCCTGCCATTTCCCTGATGGTCTCAAAATACTCTTCAAAATCGGGATAGAGAGCTGTGAAGGGTACTCCATCCCCTTTTACTGCGATTCTATCTTCTTCCCATTTCTTTTGCTCTTCAGCTGAAGGAAGAGTGATGTGTCCAGCCAAAAATCGTGCTACAAGTACGGCTTGCCATTCAAATACCTTAAATGTAAATCCTGCGGCTACAGCACCAACGAAAGTCAAGGTAGGGTCCTCGCGCCAAAATATATGTTGATACAGATTCGGAAGACGATTATTGCGAATTGTAGAATCGAGATTAGGAATGAAAGGAAGAGTCCAGGAATATCCAGTTCCGAAAATAATATAGTCTACTTTCTCCAATTTAGACCCATCCTCAAAGTGAATTGTTCGCTCATCTGTATTAGGATCCGAAGTTATGTGGGATATAGGCGGACGTCGAAGAATATGGGGATGCTGGAAAGCATAGTCAAAAAAATAAGGATGATATTTGCCCCGCACAACAGAATGAAGAGGCCGTTCAACATAATCAGCCAGAGCATAAGAAATATCAGAACCAGAGATGCTGGCGCCAACGACTACTACACGCTTCCCACGATATGTTTCTGGGTCACGCCAAGCTTTCGAATGAAGAACCCTTCCAGGAAAATTTTGGGAGAAGGTAGAAAGACCAGGAGTTGAAGGAATAAACGGGACACTGTAGTGTCCTGCTGCTACAACAACTGCATCAAAAGATTCCGTCCACCATCTATCTTCAATTCCATTGTCAAGGGGCTTGCGCAACGTCAAAACCCATTTCGATGTATGTGGGTCTTTATGAACAAGCTCCACAGTAGTATTGTACGATATCAGATCCGGGTATCCTTTCCGATCCACCAAATCTTGAACATATTTTTCTACCACCTTCCAATGGCGAAATGGCGAGTTTTCACCATGCCTCTTAATATTGACCGCCGATCTTGTTTCCGGAAACGGTTCTTGAGAAAAACACATGGCGAATGCATCTACATTTGTTTCCAACGTAGGATATATCGAGGTATCAGAAAACCTATATTGGGTATTGTGCGGAAGCGTGGTAGGGAGTTCGGATGGAATAGGAAGAGTCTCGTCTGGTCTGCGAGAAGCAAGTTTTTCAAAATCTGGAATCTGTTGGACGTGGTCTTTTGGATCTCCGAGCCTGTGAGATGAATATGAGTGATTGTTCTATTGCTCTAACCCTTCAGACATTTCGTACTCACCAGCATCCTCCAGCTTTCTCTCTTCTCTCAAAGAGCCGGATCTCACCAAATGCTTGCTCCTGAGCCAGAGTATCGAGTGCAATTGCGCCAGCTGGTCCAGCGCCGATGATTGCCACTGACTTGATGGTTGCCATTTTGTGAAAATTGCTCCTTTAGTGAGTTTAGAGATATATAGATATATATATTAGTATTACTGCGAAGTCATGGAGGGCGTACAGAGGATAGAAAACGCCTCATCGGACACCTCATCGGACACCTCATCGGACACCTCATTGGACACCTCATCGGACACCTCATCGGACACCTCATAGTTTTTACTTATCCTCTAATTAGTAACGGGACGAGAAGTAATCGATCTGCAGGGAACTCGGTATGGCGAAATTTATCGTGCATATCCCCTCGCGACCTCGAGAAAAAGCCGGACACCAACCCCGCAAAAATAAAAGAGAATCTAGAAATAATCTTTTTCAAAATTCAATCTAAATTTCTCCACATTTTATATTATTCTGAAAACTGAAGCTTTAGAATCTTTCTTTGATAAATTATTAATGTATATAATTTCAATCAAAAAGTTGAATCTGTTGTTTTGATATTGAATTTTGATTAAGGTGTAGAATTTTGGTGGACCCCCTCACTCGGGTTCGTTTCGGTCATATGAGCCGAGGTAGATCTAAGATAAGATTAGATTAGATCTAGTCCTCTTTAGCTCCATGAAAACAAATTGATATTTACTTCATTGCGAACAACGGGTACTGGCTTTCAGCTCTCTCAATCATTATTAGATGGCTTCCCGATCAAGCAGGCGCTTTTTAGATACAGCATAAGGTCACGGCTGCATTCCGTCATATCATGTTACATCATCTCGATGGTTCTGTGTTATAGGTTACATTAAGATCATATATTGATATGATATCGATTATGAGTTTTTAAATATTCAGGCTGGCTTCATAGAGTGGATTCACATTGGATGAGAATATCATGTGCTATCTGCGTTCAATGTTGATAAATTGCAAAGGACATACCTAGCTTAATCCTCACTGAATTCTGAGATACACGCTCTTCAGAGAATGTCACCATCCTCAGCATTTTCCTGTCTCGCGCGTTCCATTTCTAAATTCGTGAGATCTCTCAGCTCTCCTTCAATCTCTTTACATAAAGTACAAGCTTCCGCAATTCTCAACCACTCACACATCGCCAGAGCCGCATTCAATACTGCAGTTCGCGCTTCCTCAGTCCTGGCTCTTTCTTCCATACCATCGACCAAAATTTCTCCCCGTTTATAAAGATTGTTCATATCCATGGCCGCATCCGATTCGGCTCGATGAGGTGCCATCTGATCTCTCCTAGCCTTCCTCCATATGAATGTACTGATTACTTCGATATTGTCCATGAGAGTCTTGGAATGGTCATCGTTGTGTGACCTTTCTCGTCCTCTACCACGGTATGGATGGTATCGGTGGGAATATGAACGAGTTTGTTCGTATCTGAGACCAATATAAGAAGAATTTGGAAGAGCGCGAATGTAAGTGGTGGTGGCATCTAGGCATATTTGGTAGAGGGTATTCATGAGAAAATAGCGCTGCTCAGGAATCGATACAGGTGCAACGACTGTACTATCTGAGGCATTCGAAATGGACATCCTATTATCCAGTGTTGGTTTAGACGGTGTGTAAGTCCCCATGGAATGCATGGGGACACGGTCTGATGGAGAGTTGTTTAGCATCATAGCAATAGTGGGAAGGCAACTGCCAGAAACGTGGCGTAGAGGCAGGGCACGTGAATTTTCAGCGCGGTTGTCAGTTGTACGAGAACCTCCTTGGCATTGACAGTAACCCGGATCTAGTAGGGTCTGAGAGTTTTGTCGGGTCGAGACAGGTGTGGCCATTAGACAGTCCGGATCAGGATCAATCGTCGCCTCAATGGCTGGAGAGGATTCCTGCAATACATACCCAAAAGACGCTCTATTTTCGCCTTGAAAGGGCTTACTTCCCTCGGCGCTAGCGTTTCCCGTCACAGACGCCATCTGACTGCCAGACGCAACAGGAGGATGAAGAATCGCTTGATTGGATAGTTGCATAGGACTATTGATCCCGTTTACAATGCCTCCAAAACTTCGGGAGTGACGTAATGAATTAATGTCAAAAGGATAAAAAGCTTTAGATTTCTCATCGTTGTTAAAATCCATGGCGCAGAGAAAGTTTCGTCAGGGCAAAGGTGGTACGAATGGAAGATGAAAATAAATATTATCAGATTCTTCAAGGAGGGTGAGAGAGAGAGATAAGGTCTGGTTTCTCTAAGGGCAACTATTACAACGAAACATGGTGTGATTCTCGAAGGAAATATACTTAGCTGGATTGTTCTCTGGCATAATTGAAATGGGTCATGTAATATGTTATATTCTGCATGGAAAGTATGGAACGGCAAAGAGCCACTGCGTTGCATGCTGAGGCTTTGTACACAAAGTTGCGAAACTCGTCAGTGCTTCTATTCAACTCTATTCTAAGCGTTCCAAATAACAATTCTTCCATCAACACCGCTCGCTAAAAAATCAATTAGTTTCCCCTTAAAGATATAGATGAAAAGAGCACTTACTAGTGAACTTGCTGACACCACTTTCCGAACCTTCATAGACGCGAATAGTGCTGATGGTGTTTTGATGCACAGTTGTCAATTGTGTATCATCCTTGACTTTTCCTTTCAAGTCCATTTGCTTGAACATATTGAAAGCACTCTCCTCTCCAACATCTTTGACCGGGCCCCCTTTTGATTCCAAGGAGCCTGTGAGTTGCCAGCCCCCTTCGTTACCACCAAATCTGAATGCCTCACAGTCATAGCCTGCCGCAATGATCTCAGCTTCGCCATTCCAGATCAAACTCATAAAAGGGAGAAGCTGTGTGCTGACACTAACAACAGCCTTTGGAGGTTGGTCTGCGCCATTGGGGTATACGACTGTGATGCTGCTATCATGTGCAGCAAAGGCCAGGGCATTTCCACTCGGTGAAAACGATACCGCGTGAACCCATCCAGCAGAATTGTTGAGATACTCTCCGCAGACAGTGTTGAATGGCAGACGTTCTCCCCATACTCCAGGTTCTGGTCTAGCATCTACCCCCTTAATAAAACTCGAAAACACTCTCGCATGGGCATCGGTAGAGCCGGCAGCTAGAAGAACGGAATTTGGATGCCATGCGACAGTCGTGATGGTGCTACGGATAGGCTTCTTGATGTGTTTCGAAACCCACCAGTCGTTCTCCTCTTCAAAGTAGCAGATGGCAATTACCCTTGCACCGGATCCAACGGCGAACTTCGTTTCGGAAGGAGACCATCGAACAAATGTGGCCGCACGGTTGATTCGGAGAAGGACGAGAGTAGGTTTATAGCCAGTGGGAGATGGTTCCCAAACCAAAGCATTGCGGTCTGACCCAATATTATCAACATTGTTAAATTAATTGGAAAGATTAAATGGGTACAAACCTTGGGAGCATGTTACAATTCTACCACTGTTAGGAGCTATATCAACACTGGTGACGGTCTTGTCATGACCTTTCAATTCGTCCTTGAGCTTGAAGCCCTTACCGTCTCGTCCATAGAGCTCGACACTGGTGTCGCGTGCTACAGCCAATGTCTGTCTATCGGCTGAGAACGAGTGATCCGCGATAGGATGATGGAAAAGGTGATGAACTTCTGGACCAGGCATTTTGTTGCTTCTTGATAGGAGGAGCTCTCTACTATCACTGTAAATATGTACTTATGTTGGCATTACCGCATGGACGAGAGATGCTTGCTTAAACGTGGGGCGGGTACTCCCTATACGTCTGATTACTAACCACTTCAAGCTAGCGCAAGGCTGCGAAAGGCGGACTCTCGAAATTTATATCTATATTGATATATGTTGGAAGTACCCAAAATTCAAGACGCGACTGACTACCCAGTAACAACAGAATGAGTGCCGCAGTAAAACCTGTCCCAGTGAGGACGTCGTTCCCTCCAAACCAAACCCTTTACATTACCAATTTACCTTCGTCGAAGATTCAAAAAGATGATTTACGAAGAGAACTCTACACATTATGCTCGACTTATGGTCCAGTCCTGGATGTCATAGCTCTTAAGTCAATGAAGATGAGGGGTCAAGCACACGTGGTGTATAGAGATATCCAGACCGCGACTCAGGCTATGAGAGCATTACAAGGATTTGAGTTTCTTGGACGTGAAATGGTTAGTTGGGAAACCTACAATTCTATTGCTCGTCTACTTAAAATGATTGAGGGCTGACATTCACCTTACTAGAATATCCAATATGCCAAATCAAAGTCAGATACCATTGCCAAGTTGGACGGTACTTTCCGTATGCCGTCTGCAGCAGCGGCTGCGGTCGTGGCCACAGAATTGCAGCAAAGTATCTTCAATGCGCCGCCGTCTGCAGCTACCACTACGAGCAATTTACCTCCCCCACCACCGCCATCAACCCTCCAGGTTCCAGCTCCTGCCTCTGATCACGCTATGGAAGATGCAACAAGCCCAAGTGCAAGTGTTGCTGGACAAAAAAGACGTCGGGATGAAGAGGAGGAGGAAGATAGTGAAGGAGACGTTGCAATGGAGGAAGACAGTGATGACGATTAGCGACTGATGATATTGCATGGCAAAGGCGTTGGGGACTGGTTTGAGGCGTATTGGTCTTGGTCACACGGTTGTCGACTAAAATGGATCTAAAGGGCTACGGCTCCTATACAATTCGCATATGAAGTACATTGACCTCTAATGACATGTCAGAGATGGCGTGTGAAATTGTGTATCTCCGATACAACACAAGTGTACATACCTAATTGGTGATGTTTCAATCGTGTGATAGGTTTTGTCGTTGCATGTCCACAAAATGAACATGAAGCTTCAATATCTATGTGATATCGTGGATCCATGTATTACATGCCCAGTGAAGACGAAACTCTTTGAAGCAGAATACCAAAAGCTCTTCTCTATAGATCTTCCTGAGCCATTTCATGAGGCATCCATAGTCCCACACACCCACCGATCAAGCCAAGCCATACCATTAAATAATTATCTGCCGGGCAGTCAAAATTCTCCATTGCCTCCCTGGTTTGACATGGATGAATGAAGAATGCCGGTACATCTGTGATGGGATGCGGCTAAAACTAGTTAGGGTGTATTCTCGTAGCAAAAATTAGCCACTTACAGCAGCAGAAATTCCACCCATAACTCCCATTGCACGAAGTTCACTTTTGTACTCTTCAGGCACGAGATGTCGATACACTGAATTTATGTCAAACGCAGGCTCATCATTTGGTAAATCGTGAAGCGTGAACCACAAAGTCGGTATTCTATAAGTGGGATGTAGGTGAATCTCATAGGTAACGTAAGGCTGGTGAGAATATAGACTGAATCGGGGGATAGCGTCACTCTCCAGTCTCGAAGGCTTATTTGGACGCAGTGCCTCCTATACGATGTCAATGAGTCTAAGTATTCACATAGTGTCAACACGAATGAAGAGAGTCACTAACATCGTCTTCATCCTCATCCATCATCTCCACCTCTTGACTCGGAGCAGAATTTGGAGCGTAACCACTACTCAAATTGCTAAGAGCAAGTAACAGATCATCATCATCTTTTGGTGGGTGAATTAATCGAATGATTTCAACATAGCATGATCCAGTAGTTGCTGTTCGTCCCATGGACAGCTTGAGGTTCTTCCTTGCAGGTCCCAACGATGCTCGACAATATCTTCGATCCAGAAACGCACAGGCGAGCTCAAACTCTTCTTCCGTGAGAAACGGCCACTGGCGATATTCATGGCGATGGGTTGCCATCATGACTGGTTTAGCACTGGCTAGAGAGTCAAAGATTTGAACCTATCAATCAGTAATGGTGTAAGTACCGTGTTTGCTGTGCCTGCTTGCTTGCTTGCTTTGCTTGCTTTATTTTATGTAGGTGGTTCATAAATATTTAGTGAATCCCTAGTAAATCCTGCCAAAAAGAACTCTGTTCAAATGTTAACTTTCAGAGTAAATTCACGTTATGGATTTTGTAAATTCGAAAATAGAAAAATATTAAACTATTCGTTGTGATAATCCATGACACTGTATCTTTTGTAGCTCCTCCTTAGGAACGGTCAGATACCTACCAGCCGAGCCAGCTACATGTACAGTGCCTCGAGTGCTAGGCTTGCTGGCTCGGTAGACGAACTTATAAGACCTGGCGATTCTAGCCATTCTCATCACAGTTACCCATTCTTATCAAGTCTACTCGTCGCATTCCCACATTTAAAATTAAAATAGCGGTCAGGGGTAGCTTTGCTTTTCCATCTCTACCCACTGAAGCTCCCCAGATAACTATCGCCATACCTACGATAGGTACTAGGTATATATATGCTCGAATTCTGAGTTACTCTTCGTAGTTTCATCAGAGCCTACCCAAATTTCCCATGATGATTGCCCAAACATACCGGGTAGACACACAAATCGCCATTTTCAACGTCTTTCAGATTTATTGAACAGATTCGACTGTTCAAGAAGAACTTGGAAATGCAAATCTAACAGGTAGGACACCCAGAGGTGCAATATAAGGCTGAGAATAAAGCCTGTAATTTATCCCAAGGCTCGGTAAGTACGCCTTCCAAGGTTACGTGTACTGTTCTCGAGAATTTATAGCTCTTGAGCCTCTCCGTTTCGAAAGAAATGACACCTAATGATAAGCTTCAGATATTTTAAGTTTTGGGTATCTTAGTGTTTGTTTATAGTCGCGCCTTCTAGTAATGAAATGATTTTGAAGTTTCCATGAACAGTCGCGACCCCTTTAATCTACGCCGCTCTCCAGCATTCAACATCCTTCGAGGCACTGCGACACAAGCTGCTTCAAATATCACCCAAAGGGTCAAAGAAGCAGGCGAGCAAGCTTATGAGTCTGGGAAGCAAGCTGTCGAAGAGATGTCCACTTTTTCTATCCCAAAAAACGTCCCCTCTTTCACAGATCCTCAGCGCAATTTGGAAAACAAAGCTTGGGCGGCCTCTGGCATGACCGCGAGATCATCGACGGCACATACAAGTGGAGTAATTAGCGGCATACAAGATCGAGTTGGAAACCTTCTTGGAGAAAATAGGGATCTGCCGATGTACAAAGACAAGCCGTATTCATATGCCTCCTCCAGGAGAGCACAACCGTTTTACAAACGGCGGCGCACCATAATTGGGTCCATCGCATTTGTATTTTGTGCGTTATACTTTTTAGGGTTCTTTGGATCCAGTGATGAGACGAAAAAGAAATCGACAGACAGATGGACATGGCTACAGCGGCAGGAAAAGGGACCTAAATCAATTGACTGGCTAGATCGAAGGGAAAGGGTCAAGGAGGCTTTTACTTTGAGTTGGGATGCATATGAGCGATATGCATGGGGCTATGACGAGTTTCATCCAATTTCGAAACATGGAAAGCAAATGACACCAAAAGGAATGGGCTGGATAATTGTGGATGCTTTGGATACAATGATATTGATGAATTTGACGAGCAGGGTGCAGCATGCAAGGGAATGGATTACGACTTCACTGGACTACGACCAAGATCAAGAAGTCAACACGTTCGAAACTACAATTCGCATGCTTGGGGGTCTTCTATCCGCCCATTATCTCTCCACCGAGTACCCACACTTAGCTCCATTGGCCGAGGATGATGAAGGAGCTTCAGGGGAGGATTTATATCTGGAAAAGTCAAGGGATTTAGCTGATCGTTTGCTTGGCGCCTTTGACTCTGCCTCTGGAATACCATTCGCCAGCGTTAATCTCAAGACCACCAAAGGTGTTCCATCTCATGATGATGGCGGGGCGTCATCCACAGCAGAGGCAGCGACGTTGCAATTGGAACTGAAATATCTTACCAAACTTACTGGAGAGACTGAATACTGGGAAAAGGCTGAGAAGGTGATGAAAATTATTGATGATAATGGCATGGAGGATGGGCTCTTGCCAATCTACATATACGCTAATACTGGAAACTTCCGTGGAAGCAACATTCGTCTTGGCAGCCGTGGTGATTCATATTACGAATATTTGATCAAGCAATATCTTCAAACTTCAAAAGAAGAGCCTATCTATGAAGAATTATGGGACGAGGCACTCAAGGGAGTTCGGAAGCATCTCATCACTTACTCTAGCCCTTCCAAATTTACTGTTCTTGCTGAGCGACCTGAGGGTCTGGGTGGCTCTCTTTCGCCAAAGATGGATCACTTGGTATGCTTTATGGGTGGAACAATTGCTCTAGGTGCCACTGGTGGCATTACGGAGGCTGAGGCACGCAAGCTACCAAGCTGGAACGCGAAGAAGGATGAAGAGATGAAACTAGCAAGAGAATTGACGCACACCTGCTGGGGAATGTACAAAGTGATGGCAACCGGGCTTGCCCCTGAAATCGCACATTTCAACATTGATGATCCACCATTGCCAGAAGATGCACCACATCAAGCACCTACAAATTTTGATGATCCGGAGAATCAAGAGTGGCGCAAGGACTTCATTATAAAGAACAACGATAACCACAATCTCCAAAGGCCAGAAACTATCGAGACATTGTTCTATATGTGGCGTATCACAGGAGAGGAGATGTACAGAGAATGGGGATGGGAAATGTTTAGGTCTTTCATGAACCACACAGCTGTTAGCGAAGGTGGCGGGTTCACGAGTCTCTCTAATGCCAATGTTCTACCTGCGCAAACCAAGGATAACATGGAGAGTTTCTGGCTTGTAAGTACAACCCTATATCCGCTTGCCATTGACGATTTGCTGACTTTAACCAGGCTGAAACCCTCAAATATTTTTATCTTCTTTTCTCGCCAAATGATATCCTCCCCTTGGACCAAATAGTTATTAACACGGAAGCGCATGCCTTCCCACGATTCAAGATGGGCCCATTGTTGTCAACTGGATGGAAGAGAAAGCCCAGGGGGCCAGACGGAAAGATATTACCAGAACCAAAGAAGGAGCCCGGAGTAAAGGAAGTCGAAGTTCAGGAATTGAAGAGTGGTGCGACGTGAAGTTGAAAAAGCAAAATTGTACCTATATAATGGATGATGACCATGTAAATTCGTTGTATTTTTATCGCATCTAGATCATAGGCTTTTGTATGCCTTTCTTATTATTACTTGCGGATTTGAACAATCTAAATATAGATACCATCATTGTACTTGCGACGAAATATCCTGTCTATTTACATTCCGATGGTTTAAATAAATACCTCAGATGAGCTGAATTATTTTACATTGCGTTGCACCTTGTATTGAATATTTCGATATTTCAACCTCTCAACCTCTCCATGTAATAATTGTCTACATTTGGACCCGTTATTGCATCTGACAATCGATTTACTACATAGGAAGAAAGTTGTAAGCTATTGCTTTGAGTAGCGCAATACCAAAACACAGAACGCAAATCTATCAAACTTAAAAGATACACAGACATTTGGCCGGCACTTCATTGATGCAACTTTGACAGCCGGTTAGTCGAATCGGAAGTTTTTCTTACAAATTATATTTAAGCGTCGAGCTGTTAGACGCAAGAAAGACACCCAAAGTGAACTATCACATGGTTTCCAGACCCAGCCTCTATGGACGAGAGCGAGGATAGAGAGAGGGAGGTGTGATATCCCATATCTACCGTTCAGCTGACGGGCCGTCGTTGTACCAATTGTTCACAGGTCGAACACCAAGCTTTGCCCAGAAGTTGAGATATTGTACCCCTATTTTGCCTACTTGGCAACGATGGTGATACATCATTAGAATGACATATACCTTTCTGAAGCGTTGATGTTAGTTGATGTTAGTTGATGCTTTTCTTTCTTTTTCTTTCTTCGTCATGTTTGTGGCAATCAGCTTGCAATTGATGAAGTTCATCCCGCTACCATGATAACTCCACAAGCCCTAGCGCCCCCATACCCCAAATCAAGCTCATCACGCCCAATCACGTCTAATCACTTCGAGCAATCTCATGCAAAAGATAAGCCTTTTACTCTCCGAGATAGCTGTGCCTTCCGGTCACAACTTCATCTTCTTACTCCACAAACTTTCTCAACCAACTTTCATACTCATAGTGTGAAACATGATGTTGGAAATCACTGGAAAATATGCCATACATTATCACTTGCACAACCTCTGAGCTCTAGCCAACCGGTTGAGAGCTTCAACAGTTACTCTCTTAATCATTCGAGACAACTCAGCCTCACCGGTAATCTTGATGCGGTAGATCTAGATCGACGAGCATCATTCCTAATACAGGCTGTCGACATCTCCTAGACTACATACACATCAAAACTCGAAATCATCAGGATGAATAGTTTCAGGATGAACGATATTGAAAAGGGTTCAGTCTACCCCGATAAAGACCAATCCACAACTCCGGACCACAGTAGCGGACGCGGGGAACCAAGCTACGAAGAAATAACGCAAATAAAACATGGAATAGGGCGTCGCTTTGTTGACAGCTTTCGAAGAGATCTAAGTCTTACTATGACCCCGCCGGGTGTGGTAGGCGCAAATGGGAGAGTATTCCATGCCGAAATTGCCGCGCAAGCAACAGCAAATTCTCCTCTTGCACGAAGATTGAAAGGGAGGCATCTGCAGATGATCGCAATTGGAGGTTCAATAGGTTAGTTGCTTGACGCGCCGAGTAATTTTAAGGGGCTATTACTGAGTCGAATCTATGGACAGGTACCGGACTTTTCGTTGCGTCGGGCAAATCTCTCGCAACTGGCGGACCTGCATCACTTATTATATGCTTTACACTCATCGGGCTCATGTTATATTGTACGGTGCATGCTTTGGGTGAAATGGCTGTTCTGTTTCCCGTTTCAGGGTCTTTTTCGGCCTACTCGACTCGATTCTTGGATCCGGCAAGTTCATCCATTGATATAACGGGAAAGACATTGACTAATTGCGTGACTCACAGGCTTGGGGATTTGCTATGGGATGGGTATGAGAAACCACAGATAATATGGAAACTAGCATTAAATACTAACTCCTAGCAAACAGAATTATGCAATGCAATGGCTTGTGGTTCTTCCATTAGAAATTATTGCGGCATCTATCACAATCGACTTCTGGGATATACAACAGCGATACGATCATGCTATATTTGTCACAGTATTCCTTTTCACAATTATTGGCATAAATATGTTTGGAGTGAAAGGGTACGGCGAAGCGGAATTCTTCTTTGCTATCGTCAAAGTTGTGGCTATTATTGGATATATGTGAGTCTAACCGTTGTCATATTCGATCTACGTTTCGGCCATCATCCTATCCTTACGCTTTTTTGGAGAATCAATAGATGTTTTAACGGAACAAAAAACTGACTTTTCCAACAGACTTTTGGCCATAATCCTCAACTGCGGTGCCAGCCTTGAAGAAGGTTATGTAGCTGGTACGTTGTGGAGTGACCCGGGCGCATTCAACAATGGATTCAAAGGCATGTGTAGTGTTTTTGTCACTGCGGCATTTGCTTTTGCTGGCACTGAATTGGTGGGGCTCGCTGCCGCTGAAACGCAGAACCCCAGAAAGTCATTGCCAAAGGCCGTGAAGCAAGTATTCTGGCGTATCACTCTTTTCTATATTGTCTCGCTGACTCTCGTTGGACTTCTCGTCCCCTATACCGACGAAAGATTGCTTGCTACTGGAAAGACGAATACCGCAGCAAGTCCTTTCGTTATTTCTATTCAAAATGCTGGAATAACGGTACTTCCTTCTGTTATGAATGCAGTCATCCTTATTGCTGTACTATCTGTGGGCAACTCGTCAATATTCGGATCTTCTCGGACTCTTGCAGCATTAGCAGATCAGGGGCAAGCTCCTAAGATTCTGGCTTATGTTGATCGCAAAGGTCGTCCGATCGTAGCTATTGGCGTATCGTCGGCCCTTGGGTTTCTCGCTTATGCAGCGGATTCTGGTGCTCAGGCAACAGTTCTGGATTGGATGCTAGCACTGTCTGGACTTTCCTCAATATTTACTTGGGGATCTATTTGCCTTGCCCATATCCGTTTTCGACGGGCTTGGGGACTTCAAGGTCATAGCCTAAACGAGTTAGCTTTTCGTTCGCAGCCAGGCGTCATTGGCTCGTGGATTGGGTTTCTATTCAATGTCCTCATTCTCATCGCACAATTTTGGACTGGGGCATGGCCTACAGGCTATCAGCAAATGACGGCACTCGAGCAATGTGAAAGCTTCTTCCTAGCATACTTGGCCGCACCCATCGTAATTGTATTCTATGTGGGATATAAATTTTGGTATAGGACTTCTGTGATGAGATCCAAGGATATGGATCTAAAGACCGGAATGCGCGGTCTAGACTTGCCAGCCTTGATAGCAGAGGAGCGAGCAGAAAAGACCGGATGGCCAAAGTGGAAACGAGTATACAAGACAGTATGTTAATTCAACTACAGGGAGTTTATGGTAATGCGGGTGGATTGGGAGTTTCTATCATAAGGGAGTTTATGTGCGAGAGATACCATGTGATTTCGGCGTTAAACAAATCATGGCGAGGGAGGATATCCATTGATATACTGGAAATATGTTATAATACTACAGCGAGCTGCGCGATACTCTTTCTTCATCACATAGAATAATTACATAAATCAGCCATCAAATCAGATCGCTGTATACCGGACTTTGCCTAACGCGGGTAGTTCCTTTCCTAAAGCTTGCAACCGCAACCAATCGGCGCGATTTCAAAGCTTTATATAAGGTAACGGGAACTATTAAAAGGCTCCAAGCTATCATTGATTCATTGCATTGTTCGGCCGAGGCCCTGTGGATAGAAAGATGGGATAAATCTAGAACTACGGAGGTATACAAATAATCCGATGCCCCGCTTGTCATTAAAAGGCGTAGGCGGACTCCGTGTGATATGATTTTCCTGCTCTATTGACAAATCTCAACTCTTCGTTTTGTTGTACACGATCTTTGGACTGTAGCAATTGCCTCGGGGCTGATTGACCAAGTTTTTCCATCTAGTCTCGAATGGAATGTGATGATCAAAAGATCTGATAGTTGATAAATCGATTAGGTGGAGAGCTAAAATTTTCTAGTGAGGGGAAAAGTGGGAGTGGATCTTTCGTTGGTACCCCTCCATAACTGACGATAGATATAGGAACTGATTGGTTGATCACCTCGGGGGACTAATGGGAATGAGGATATTAACCACACCTTTTGGTTACTCTGTAGCTTTGTGATTGCCAAAATATCCATGCATCTCCGGTACAACACAGACATCTGCGAGTAGATGTGGTTGAAAGATAAGAAAGGTATGACGGATGCATATGGCCGACTACGTGCAGATATGTAGTAAATATATACATGGCATTAGTCCAACAGTTACTCATACTTTCACTCTCTTTGCTTTGCTTTTGAAGCGTTATTAACATCTTTTTCAAGCTTGACCTGTCAGTGTATTAGTCGCCTTGTTTGATACATTGGACCTTCAAGATGTTGGCCAAGCAAGCTCTTCTTATCTCTGCACTTCTGCCATTGATTCAAGCTCAAGAGTCTACTTCAGAAACTGTTTTGGGTGTTTATATCTTCCATCGTCATGGAGATCGTACTACAAAATCCTATGCTCCCACATCTTTGACAGATCTTGGGTACGCTCAAGTTTATGCTTCTGGAAACTTTTATCGAAACAGATACATCGATTCCAATGCCTCCTCTCCTCTTTACAAGATCAGTTCAGACATAGCTAAGGTCTCTCAATTAAATATTCAAGCACCAGTCGATAATGTCCTTCAGAATTCTGCAGCCGGATTTCTCCAAGGTTTATACCCACCTGTTGGCGCAACATTGGGAAGTCAAACACTTGCCAATGGCACAAGTGTTGAAGCACCTTTGGGTGGTTTCCAACTCGTTCCTGTCAATGCTGTTGCAACAGCATCTAGCAGTGCCAATTCTGAGAGTTCTTCCTGGCTGCAAGGCTCTAGTGGTTGTGGAAATGCTGTCACGAGCTCCAATAACTACTTCTATTCGGAAGAATATGCGAGTCTACTCAATTCAACCAAGAGCTTCTACCAGAGCCTTCTCCCTGTGATTAACACCACTTTCAATTCCAGCACGAATACTTTCAAGAATGCATATACAAGTAAGATCTAACTGCTTCAGTAGGCTTTGTGTATTGCTAACAGGTATAGTTTATGACTACATTCACGTCTCTACCATTCACAACTCGTCTATTCCTTCCGATGACCTTCTCACAGATGAGACCCAATCTCAATTGCTAGCTCTAGCCAACACTCACGAGTTCAATCTCGCATATAATGCTTCAGATACCATTCGTGCAATTGCAGGATCTACATTGGCAGCACAGATGTGAGTTTTTAATTCATCATGTCTCACCGAAGATCACCAGATGAAAATGCATAGCCGTCATTCCCCAAACCAATACGATTATCACTCCATCATCTCCCAACCCACCACAATCCAACCAAATCAACTAACCCGCACCAGTCTCCAACAACTCAACACCACCATCACCGGCAAATCCGCCGTCCCAGTCTCCATCCAATTCGGCGCCTACGCCTCCTTCCTCTCCTTCTTCGGGCTCTCAGGCCTCTCCAGCCTCTCCCCAAACTTCACCGGCATCGTCGACTACGCCTCCTCCATGACCTTCGAACTCCTCACCAACGCCACCGTCTCCACAACCTCCTACCCCTCCCCCTCCGACATCTCCGTCCGCTTCTACTTCTCCAACGGCACCGCCTCCGAAAACCCCCTCGTCGCCTACCCGCTCTTCAACCAATCAGAACTCACTCTCCCCTACACCACCTTCGTCGCCCAGATGAACAAATTCGCCATCGGTGATCAAGATGCCTGGTGTACCGCCTGCGGAGAATCAACAGGAGCCTGCGCGTCTTCCACCGCTTCATCCTCCTCCTCGAGCTCCGACTCCGACTCCTCGGGAAATACCGAGGGAAATGGAGGTATCTCGAAAGCGGTTGCGGGGGTAATTGGCGCAATGGTTACATTAGCGGTGGTTCTGGGTATCGAGGCGTTAGTTTTGATGCTTGCGGGTTTGAGAGTCGTGAGTAGAAAGAGATTGGGCGCGGGAAATGCAGGGACGGCGGCGGTGGTTGCTGAGCAGGGTGGGAAGTAAGAGAGGCCGGGGAGGTGAATGATGGAATGATGGAATGATGCAATGAAAGTTGCGAAATGTGATATGGGGTGAGTTGGGTTAAGTAGGTAATGATAATGCGGATATGAGGATTATGGAATGGGGGTTGAAAGCGCTCATTGGTTATAACGATATGAAACAGTAATTCCAGAAATTTACGATACATCCAGGAAATGGATTTATATTGAATAGGCGTATTACATGATCGATGTAATGATATACCTAGGTACCTAGTAGTTCTTTGTGTGTGTCCATCAAAATATCACCCATCATCACTTGAAATGACCATTATATCAAATTGGAACACCAACTCAGACCATAGTTTATTATAATTATTCATTGTGAATGTGTAATTCTATTTATCTATACCTATACAAACAAGTAGTATCCATCTATCCTACCACTTTCATTTTCATACACCCATAAGTCGCGAAAACCGCGTGATTTTCGTCATAACCCCCATCATCCTATGCAACAATGCAACAATGCAACGACCAACTCCAAAAAATGCCTCGCGAGACCATATCCTCCAACCCAAGCGCTCAAACCACGCACCGCAACGCTATGCAACGAAATACAAACGAGCACAGAAAAGCCCCACTAATCCAACCCCTCTCCATTCAAAATGCTCTTCAAAATCCCGGCTCCCAACCCCTCCACCGCAGCCGCAACCTCTTTCTCCCCAACACAACTAGCCACTCTCTTCTCATCTCCCACTCCCACACCGGATCCGAAGCGCCCGGGTCTCCCTCGTGCCCTGACTCCCCCATTCAACACAAACGAGCCATTTTTTCCATCCACCGCCGCAACCAATGATAGCGTCTCGAGACTTCCTACCACATCTCTGAATTCCGTGCTCGTTAAAGGATGCAAGATTGCATCTCGAGTACAGAGCATGTTGTATGTGTTATACAGCTGTTTGATGGTTGGAGCTAGGTTATGGGATTTCGATGGGGTAGCGAGGAGATTGAAGGATTGAGAACGATTACGTGATTCGAGGGCTAGGAGAGCGCAAAGAGCGGCTTTTTGTTGGAGATTAAGGGTTTTGAGACGTTGGGTCGAGCCATTTCCGAAGGTAGATGCGGTAATCTTGTTCACGTGCTGAATACTGGCGCGGGGGGCAGTTTCGACAGTGAGGGTTGCGAGGGATTGGGCTAGCGTTCGTGGACGGAATAGATTTTTGCTGGGGGTGTTTGTAATGGAGGAGAGATTGATGTTGTCCTCTAGGATTCGTTTGGAAGGGCTATCGAGGAGAGTTTTGTCTTTGAGTTCCTGTTCGTGCTTTTGCTTGGTTTCGGTCTCGATTAAATCGATTGCTCTTCGACAAATGTCAAAGGCTTTGCGTAAATCTCCTGTTTGGCTTGCTACTTTGCGGGAGCAAAGTTCAATGGCTGCTGGATGGAGGAATGGTACGAAATTTGGAGTCGCACTATCCGCGGGAACAAGTGACTTGAGACGTGTCATGATGACAGTCTTGATCTGCAACGCGGTATATGGAAGGAATGGTAGTAGTTGTGGTTGTAGATTCCGGGCCTTTAGTCTTGGTAGGAAACGATCTGTAAGATCCAATGCATTTGCAATTCCGATAAGGATCAGGCGCGATGACTTCTGTAAAGACCATTCAAATAGCTTGTATAATATCTCCAGGTCCAGGGTGAGGATGTGATCGATTTCATCCAGTGTAATAAGGTAGACGTCCTTGGTCTTTTTCCTCGAAATAAACATATCCTGCAAAGTCTTCTCTTCGTCGCCATCCAAAACCACTTCCTCACCGCAATAAGACTCCAGCAGTATACCATACAAATCCTTCGAGGTTTTCATGCTCATACAATTGACATATGTCTTGTGTAATGTGGTCGATTCTTCATATTCCGTCGTGACTTCGTTGATCATAGCACTTTTTCCAGTTCCAGGAGGACCGCTAACATATATACATCCTCCACTTGTTTTGTCGACACAATTTTGTACAAAAGTTTTCAATTCGCCCTTTTCGGTCTCTCTTCCAACAAGTCGTCCAGGTTCTGAGCTCCGTGTGAAGATCTGTCGAGCTTGAGTATATACAGTCGCAATTGATCCACCGGGTGTTACAGGAGTCCTTGGAGTTCTAGGAGTCATTGGCTTTCCAGTAACAGTAACACGATGCCGAGGGGTTATTTGTACTTTTTTGGATAGCGCATCGCGATGTCGAGGTGTTTGAGGAGTAGGGACTTGAACTGTTTTGGATGCTTCTTCTATCAATGTCTTTTTCGGTAATGCGATCTTTCTGCTTGCC